GAATTCCAGGATACTTCATCGTGCTCAGGCATAATTTGTACATGGACCAACAGGCAAATAAATACGGGACTACTGCATGGTTTAAAATCAGAAAAGGTGTGTGTCAGGGTTGTATCCTATGACCATGCTTGTTCAATGTGTATGCTGAGCAAATAATCAGCGAAACCTGATGACATGAATAATGCAGCATCGAGATCAGAGAAAGGCCTATGAACCACCTGTGCTATGCAGACGACACAACCTTGCCTGCTTGCTGAAAGAGGGCTGGATGCCCTGCTGATGAACACTGGGTATTGCAGCGTTCGGTACAGATTACAACTCAATGCAAAAAACAAGACAAAATGAAAATACTCAACAGCTAGACCAATAAGTCAGGTTGTGATAAATGAAGAAATGATTTTGTCAAGGATTTTCTCTTACTTTGATCCACAATCAGGGCTCAAGGAACAGCAGTCAAGAGTTAAAAGTCACGTAGCACTGGGTAAATCTTAGAATGCTGAAAGGCAGCATGGTACTTGGAGGACTAAGTGAGCCTGACTCAAGCCAGGGTGTTTTCAATGGCCTCATAGGCATGTGAAAGTTGGTATGTGAGACAGTCTTGCCTGTCACCCTCTCTTTTAAGGAGTATTCTGTTTACTTCTTCCAAGATAGATCTGCTTGTTCTTCTGGTAGCCAAGCATCGTTTCAGTATTCTCTGACAGTGCCATCATTCAAATGCATCCGTTCCTCTGTCCAACTTTCACAAGCACATAGGATGATTGAAAATAACATGCACGGCTTCTCTCAGGAGCACGTTAGTTTTCAAAGTGACATACTTCCTCTTTAACACTTTAAAGAGGTCTTGTGCAGCGGGTTTGCCCAGTGTAATCCATCCTTTGATTTCTTGACGGCTGCTTCCATGAGCACTGATGTGGATATAAGCAAAACAAAATCCTTGACAACAACTATCTTTCTTTTCTTCATTTGTCATGATGCTGTCTCTCGGTCAGGTTGTGAGCATTTTTTTCCTTTACATTGAATTTTAACCCATACTGAAACTTGATCTTCATCAGCAAGTGCTTCAAGTCCTCCTTGCTTTCAGCAAGCAAAGTTGTGTCACTGCATATTTGAAGGTTTTTAGTGAGCCTTCCTCCAATCCTGATGCTGCATTCTTCTTCACATATATATAGAAGCATATATATAAGAAGTCCATATATGTGTCTGTGTGTGTGTGTGTGTGTGTGTATAAAATCTCCAACCCTGTTGCACACCTTTCCTGTTTTAAACCATGCAACATTTCCTTGTTCTGTTCATGTGATTGCCTCTTGTTCCATGAATGAGTTCCATATGAGCATCTTTCTAGTATTCTCTGCTTTCAGTCAAGATCCATCTGCGATGAGCAATGAAATCTCTTGTGCTATGTTCTCTTCTGAATCCAGCTAAAAGTTCTGGAAATTCCCTGTGAATGTACTGTTGTAACTATGGAATTCTCATCACCAAAATCTTAGTTGTATGTGATATTAATGATACTGTTTGATAATATCTGCATTTGTTGGACTTTTCTTTGGAATGGGCACAAATATTGATCTCTTCCAGTCAGTTGGCCACGTAGCTGTCTTCCAAATTTCTTGGCATGGGCTAATGAGCCCTTCCAGCGCTTCACAAGCTCGTTGAAACATTTCAGTCGGTATTGTCAATTCCTAGACCCTTGTTTTGGGCTAATGCTTTCAGTGTAGTCTGGACTCCTTCATTAATACTACGGGTTTTTGATCATGTCAACCAATTCTTGTTGGTATAGTGATTCATTGACTCTAAGTATTCCTTCCATCTTCCTTTGCTGCC